TACACAACCAATCCACTTTCCAGTACATCCTGTGAAGTGCTTTGAGAAGTCTCGACAAAGTGATAGGGCGCTATATCAAATACAATTTTATTATTATTCCTATTAGAGAATTTTCAAATTCACCTGATGCAGCTCCCTTTGTTGGATGCATTTACTGTTTGAAGGTTCATTTGTTTTCACTAATAGAGGAAAAGCAGAACAGGAAACGCCAGGACTGAGGTGCCAACTTCTGTGCATGTTCAGACAAACCATCGTTAAAACAAGCCTAAAAGATCCAGTAACGAAACCTGGAGGCTGAAAGCTATGGAGAAACGACGCTGCGTTGCAGAGGTTCCAGCCTTGCCTTACTCAGTCTGGTAAGGCAGAAGAGAAATAACGTACAAGCAAAAGAGAAATAATAAATTGGTCACTCAATCCACAACTGTTTGCGGGACATTGGCTGCTGTGTTTCGCCCACAAAATATACAGTCAATTCACTTTACAGTATATTCTGTGAAGCGCTTTGAGACGGCTTGAAGACATGATAAGACAACAACAACTTGGATTTATATAGCGCCCTCCACACCGGACGGTGTCTCAGGGCGCTTCACAATAATGGATCCTGGGGTCGAGCCAGAGGGAGGTGGAAGAGGGTGACCAAAGGCGCAGTCGAAAAGAAAGGTCTTTAGCTGAGACCTGAAGGTATGGCCGCCTATGATGGAGTGGAATTCAGGGGACAAGGAGGAGGCCACACCCGATGGAGTGAAGGCAACGGGCACTGTTGCGAGGAGAGAGGAGGTCAGAGAGGTAGAGTGGTGCAGAGGAGTGCAGGGATTTGAAAACAAGCGTGAGGATCTTGAAATTGATCCTTTAAACTGATAAATAAATTGATCCTCTTTGGGACTAGGGTAATCGGGGAGTTTGTACAGGTAAGAATGCAGGCGGCAGAATTCTGGATCACCTGGATTTTATGAATGGTAATGGAGGGGAGACCGGCGAGGAGGGCATTTGAATAGTCCAGCCGAGAGTTGCCAAAGGCATGGACCAGGGTTTTGGCAGCTTTTGGGGTGAGATATTGACGGAGATGAGCGATGCGTCGGAGGTGGAAGAAAGCGGTGCTGTTGAGGGATTGGATATGGGGGAGGAAGGATACTTGGGGGTCGAACCTGACGCTTCGGTTGTGTATGGGTTCGGAGAGTTTTAGGGGCAGGTCAGGTAGGTGGAGGAGGTGAGAACCATGCGATTGAAGATGTCGACGAGAGCCAAAGAGTATGGTTTCCGTCTTGTCAACATTTAGCTGAAGGAAATTCACGCTCATCCAGCTCCTGATGTCTGACAGGCAGGCTGACAGAACATCAGGGGACTGGGGGTCGCAAAGAGTGGTAGAAAAATAAAAATAGAGTCCGCATACATGTGGAAGTGTACCCCATGTCTGCGGATGACATCCCCAAGAGGGAGCATATAGATTAGGAAGAGGAGGGGCCAAGGATGGATCCTTGGGGTACCCGCAGGTAACCGGGTGAGAGCGGGAGGAAAAGCCATTTGTGGAAATGTACTGCTGGCGGTTTGTGAGGTAGGACTTGAACCAGGCGAGTGCGGTCCCACTGAGGTGGATGACGGAGTAAAAGAGGTGGAGGAGGACGGCGTGATCAACTGTGTCGAAAGGCACTATATCAGAAGCAAGGATAGATTATGTTACAGCTGTCCATCACTAATCCCATTCATGTCATACAATGTAGGCCCTGTGGCACCAGAGTGCTGCAACAAAAACGGTAACAAGTTGAGCTCCTGAGTTCAGGCCTGTCACCAACAAAAGTGAACACCACACACAGGATGTGTGAAGAGTCACCGTATACAGCTCTCAACAAGCAGATGATGAGCATGTCTGTCCAGATCCTGCGTATGAATCAGCTAACCAGCTCTCAGACAAGGAGAGCAGGAAATCTGGGAGCTCTAAAGGAAGTACAGTAAGACGAGAGGAGAACAGGGCTAATTATCACTAGAAATAATCCTTGTATTTGCTTGTGGTAGCCAGTGTCCCACAAACAGCCATGAAGTGAATAACCAAATTTTGGGGGACTGTTGGCCAAGACCTGTCTGTTTTCAAATAGTGTTGTTGAATCTTTAATCTAAACAGGCAAAAGGTTTTTTGGTTTAACATCTCATCCGAAGGATGGCACCTTCAACAATACAATACACCCCCAGCACTGTATTGGAGTGTCATCTATGTGACATAGGGCTTGAATTCTGACAGATGAACTAACGTTTTGGTGTCAGCCTGACACATGAGCTGCCTGCAAAAGTGTAGAACTTAAATATTAACTTCAAAGAAATTCTTCACTTTCAATTCAATATGAACTGAGATTACCTCGAACTTTGATTACGTCTGGATAATAAACTCTAAACTAAGATATAACCAGCCATACAGACAAGACAAGCATTTGCAGCAACATTTTTATTCTTTCTCCACCCCCTTTCCTCTTTTGAGGACCACTTCCACATGACTGCAGAGGGCACCCAACTCCATCTTTCTGCCACCACTCATGATTCCATGACCATTGCCACTTCAGCAGACGAACTAACAAACATAGACTTCTGCAGGAATCTCAAATCTCCTTGAATTGACTGTTGACAAACTGAAGCCATTCTGCTCAACAACCTAACTGCACTTTGTGACCTCCACACTATTTCTCCAAAGTTTTCCTTCCCAGCTCAAAACTCAACAAGCTTCAGATCATCCAGACCTCCAAAGCTGAAGGTACAGCCCATAGGTAGGTTTTAGTAGGACCTTGAAAGCATAGAGGGAGGGCACGGGGTACACCAGGTTCCACAAGCCCATCATTTGAACAATGGCATAGCAATAGCCATCTTCCGATTCCTTGGAATGCTCTGAAAATTTTCAGTCAGAGCGCCCATTATTTGGTCTTCAACCTCCCTCAGCACTCTGGGATGAAACATATTTGGCTCTGGTGGCTTGTTCGCTTACCTTCCATCAATCTTTTGTTTATTGTTTCCTTACTGATAGATATCTAATAGCTATTGATCACCATAAAGGTTCCAGACAACAACTATCCATCTAACAAGAGACATCAACCTCCCGTTTGTCAGCTACTAACTAAAAAAATATTCTTGGGGACAGGGGGAGGGGAAGTGGTGCCTCTGGCTCCATAGTGATGAAGTGGAGCCATGTCAACTCTGTGGTGGACTGAGGTGGAGCAGTATGTGCACAGTGTTCTGCCCTCCTGAAGGCGTTTTCCTTCAACATGTGATCTTTGACAGTGAGTGAAGATACTGACATTTGACTGTGGAGGGTTTCACAGCTGAACCCTATGCTCCTCTCACCTGGCAACCACAGCACATTTGCACATCTGTTGGGAGCAGAAACAGGTTTGATAGCGATGCCAACGCTATATCGAATAGAACGCATGGCTACTTGGACAAGGTATCAGGGGGAAGAAATGGAAAATGTCCAGGTCTATTCACTACACTAATAAATTAGTGCAGCGATCCCTGTTCATCCCCATGAATGTAACTGCGCTATGAACAATCTGTGCAGCAAAAAATATTTTTTTTTGCTTTCACACAAATGCCAGAGGAAACGGAAAAAAAAGTCTGTCATAATGCTTCCCCACAAAAATACAGTGACTTCACAATAAATCATGTGAAGCACTTTTGAGACATCCTCCCAACCCGAAAGGTGGTATATCAATCATAAGGATTCTGATGTAAAATGCTGCTGATGGACGGGTATTTTTCCTCCCAGTGTAAGCTTTCAGAAACGCCGGAAGGCACAGGGATGTTTATCAGCTGTATCATGAGGATGGCCATCAAACAAACAAATGGCATAACTCCATATGCGTGTGGTTTTTTTTGGGGGGGTTTGACATAACACCACCACCGCCAACGTCAATCGGCAATTGTTTTTCAGGTGGGGGGGTGGGTGGTTGGAGAAAAGGCGACGTGGGTGAAGAAAGACATCATCAGGAGAGAAACCCGTGAAGTGACATACGTACGTAAATACTAAAATCAACTGCATTTCACACTTCCGAAACAGATCAACATATTCTGGAAATCTGCAGCCGCCTCTTAAAGCTTTCCCAAGGAGAACATGGGGCTGGGGGGGGGGGGGGGGGGGGGGTGAGTGGGGGGGGGATGAGGGCTGGGGGGGGGGAGGGCTAGGGGTGGGGGGGATAAGGGGTGGGGGGTAGAGGGGCTGGTGGGTGGCGGGGGGGCTGGGGGTGGGGGGCTGGGGGTGGGGGGGCTGGTGGGTGGGGGTGGGGTGGGGGGGTAGGTGGGTGGCGGGGGGGCTGAGGGCTGGGGGTGATAGGGGGTGGGGGGGGCTGGGGTGGGGGACTGGGTGGGGGGGGGGGGGGCTGGGAGTGGGGGACTGGGTGGGGGGCTGGGGGTGGGGGGGCTGGGGTGGGGGGTAAAAGAGGATAAAGCTGTGGCTAACACCCCATTTTCCCCTCTGGTTTGGAAGTTCCCAGTATTTCTGACAGAGACCGGACAACGGACAAAAACCCCCACCTCACCCCCCGCCCCCACCCCATCTCTCTTCCTCCTGCCGCTTCCCCCCTCCAGCACAGACACACGGGGGGTTGGGGTGTGTGGGGAGGGGGGGGTTAGGGAGAGAGGGGAGAGAGAGGGAGAGGGAGCCCAGCGGGAGGGAGCAGCTGGGGATTTCAGACCCCCCCTCCGCCCCCCCGCCGGCGGCGCGCACGGCGAGTGACACAGGGAAGCGGGGACAGCGGCGGCGGAGCGCAAGGTGAGAGGAGCGGAGTGGGGGCGCCGCCTCCAACCCCCTCACCCGGTGACTGTCACACCGGCGGCCTCGGCGGCCCCCCTCACCCCCCCACCCCTCACACACCCCCCACCCCACACAGTCGGGAGCAGAGAGAGCCAGGCAAGAGGGGGGGGGGCAGTGACAGTGACAGACTCCAGGCCGCCCTGCCCTGCCCTCTCTCTCTCTCTCTCCTTCCGGCTCCTGACCGCAGGCTCCTGGCGGGGCCCCGGGGCCTCACCTTCAGCACATCCCCCCGCTTGAAGCTCAGCTCGTCCTCGGCGGTGGCTTTGAAGTCGTACTTGGCGATGGCCTCCATTAGTGCGGCGGTCGCTCGCTCTCTCTCTCTCTCTCTCTCCCGGTCTGTCTCTGGCTGTCCCGCCCTCTCCCTCTCTCTCGGGCCGCGGCCTGTGGCTCTGGGACGCGGCGGCCGCTTCCCCCTCTCTCTCTCTCTCGCTCTGTGTGTGTCTCTCACACACACACACACACTCTCTGCCTCTCTCTCGGCTCCGCTCGGCCCGGGATGACTGCGAGGCTGGGGAGGAGCCGCGCCGCACCGCGCCTGCGCCGAGCCCTCCAACCACAGCGCAGCTCGCGCCACCGGAAGCCGAGGGCGGAAGAGGAGGAGCCAGAGGGACAAGATGGCCGCTTCCCCCCTCTCCCCCCCCCCACCGCCATCACCTCTCTCCATATCTATCTCTCCTTCCTCCCCTTCCCCCCTCTCTCTCTCTCTCCCCACTTCTCTACCTCCTTTCTCTCTCTCCCCCTCTCTCTCTCTCTCTCTATCCCCCCCACTTCTCTACCTCCTTTCTCTCTCTCCCCCTCTCTCTCTCTCTCTATCCCCCCCACTTCTCTACCTCCTTTCTCTCTCTCTCTCTCTCTACCGCCTCTCAGGGAGTCCTGTAGCTCAGTGGTTAGAGCGCTCGCCTCGCAAGCGAGAGACCTGAGTTCGAAACCTCGGCCAAGTATTCCGCACTCCGCGCACTCTCCTGACAACCCGCGAAAAGAAAACAGTGATATCATTTGGTCACTTCAAGCCACCGGTGTGTGGGCGGGGACGCTGCTGCGCCCAATCGGCTGCCGCGTTTCGCCCACAAACATACGGTCAATTCACTTTGGGGTCTATTCTGTGAAGTGCTTTGAGACGTCGAGAAGAAGTGAAAAGTGGTATATCAAATGCAAGGATTGTTATTATTTCTCTCAACCCCTCCCTCCTCTCTCTACCTCTCTCCTTCCCCCCTCTTTCTGTTTTACGCCCCTTTCTCTCTCTACTCCCTTCTCAATCCCCCTTTCCCCGCTCCACTCTCTCTCAACCCTCTCCACCCTAAGTTATACTTTTCCCCAAGAAGGTAATTAATCTCCTCCACCCTCTTTGGCTACTTTATCCCGACCCGTTCCCCCCCAGCTCAGGATGCACAGTCATCTTTGTAAGGCGCTTTGAGATATCCTCTTAATGTGAAAGCCACTATATAAATGTAAATATTATCATTGAATGTTGCTCTTCAAGAGAAATTTGGAATGAGGAGGACGCTTCAGCTGATTTCATCTCTTCCTTTCAGAATACCAGACTCCTACAACGACAACTTGAACTTAAATAGCGCCCTCCACGCAGGTTAGCGTCTCAGAGAGCTTAAATTTCAGAGCGCTTAACACTGGCGGGGCCTGACTGAGCCGGGGGGAGGGAGTATGTAGCCATAAACATGGTTGAACAGGAAGGTTTTCAGGCTGGACTTGAAAAAGGGGAGAGAGGGAGTAAGACGGAGGGATTGAGGGAGAGTATTCCAGAGTTTTGTGGTGTGGTGGCTGAAAGCATGGCCTCTGATGGTGGGGCGGAGGGTGCGAGCGACGAGCAGGAGGCCGGTGCCAATTGAGTGGAGGTGCCAGTTGGTGGAGTGAGGAGGTAGGAGAGGTAGGGAGCTGCCAGGGAATGAATGGATTTGAAGTCGAGTGTGAGGATCTTGAAGTCGAGCAACCTGACGACTGACCACCACGGAGAATTGACACGATTCGCATTTGACTGCACTCTGTATAATTGCATGGAATCGGGATTGGACAACTGCCATGCAATTATACAGAGTATGCAATTACCGGCAGTTCATTAGTGGAGCCCCCTTCCCATCACCCTCTCTTTATACCTCCCTCTCCGGTCCTCTTCCCATTGCTCTCTACGATGCCTCTCCACTGTACATATACCTCGCTCTGTCAATTCCTCAACCAATGCAATTATCCAGATTAATTATACTTGTATGGATGAAATCAACTGGCCATCTTTCATGCAATTAAGGGAATTATGCAATTTATACATTTGAGCGAAGTGCCATACCATGCAAATAAATAGCGAATTTATTTGTACCTAGAAATTGCTATTCAATTAAGTGGAGTGCAATTATTCAATAAGCAAATTAAGTGGAATGCATCGTATTCCAAGCATGTCTGGCAATATTTCAATTCATGGCTTACGTGCCAAATATTTTAATATTTTTCACACTCAAATATCTCTTAAATGGCTTTGAGAAAAAGGTTAGAGAATGGGACAAAATGAATAGCTGTTTCACAGAGCCAACATAGGCATGATGTGCCAAAAGGCTTCCATCTGTGTTGTAAAGCCTATGATTGTTAAATCCTTCAACCAATTTCTCAACTATGGCCTTCTAGGGCAGTGCATTCCCCATTCTTATTAATCTGTGCTAGAAATTTACTCATCTTAAATCATCTTGGATACAATATGGACACAATTTGGATTACAGTGACATAAGTGAGGAATTAACCTTTTCACAGCCTGCTCACATTGTATTGTAGAACGTTTACAGTACAGATGGAGGGTATCAGCCTATTCACTCCCCTTCCTTGATCATTTTACTCTGATCCCATTCCACTGTACTTTTCTCCATAACAGTTAATATTTTTTTCCTGAAGTACTTATCCAGCTCCCATTTGAAAATGTATAATAATAATATAATAATAATCCTTGCATTTGATATAGCACCTTTCACGTCAAGAGGACGTCCCAAAGCGCTTCACAGAACACACTGTAAAGTGAATTGACTGTATATTTGTGGGCGAACGCGGCAGCCAATTGCACACAGCAATGTCCCACAAACAGTCGTAGATTGAAAATGACCAATTTATTATTGTTTTTGGTTTTGGAGGGATTATTATTAGGCTCTGTGTGGAGTAAGGAAACTTGCCCAAGGTTTCGCCCTCTGCCTGGAATTGAACTCAGGTCTAGCAACTCAAGTTCAACAATCAATTGTAAAGGAATATCATGCGAAAGTGTGGAGCATGCTGAGATTGCGTTTGTGTGATTTTTACATTATTGTGAAAGAGTTTGTGGTCCTGTCCTGTTCCCCCTGACCCTATCTCCCCTTTTCTTTGATACATGGTGTAAACTAACATTTCATAAGAAATTCAGATTAATAATAATAGAAAATAATGATCCTTGAAAGTGAATTGATTGTATAGTTTGTGGGTGAAATATATTATTCTGAATGGATACAGTCAAATAAATGCAATTACAGTATTCATATGGAAGAAATAATTTCTCTGTTGCAACTGACACATGTCACTATACCCTCTTCATGAATATCTTGATTACAGGGGCTATGGGGTAAAAATTCCAGAAACTATTCCCAGGAGGAACAGCCAACAAGCTAAAGGCCTCCAGTCTAAAGGTGAAGTATTGGCACAGAAAGGCAAATATGACATTGAAGAAAGGGGATGAGAAAACAAAGCACTCTCTCTGTGAAGGATCAGAAGAATACATTTTAAAAGTAATAAACTAATTTGTTTCTGTGTAATGCATGAAGGTTACATATGTTTGTGAAGGTTACAGATATAATGGGAGGTGCTACAATTTGCTCTTATTCTCCCAGCCTTTGCAGACTTTTACATCCACTGTTGCCTCTGGAGAATGCTGTGACGAATTCAAATGTGAACCCTCCTGTTGTCTTGTTAATAGACTGTGGGAGGGGGAGGGGTGGGGAGGGGGTCAAGGTGACTATAGCTAGCTTCCATTTAACAACTAGCTGTTTCTACTATAGTTCCACAGGGGAAATGATACCAAGTACAGTGTGCCTACTATTTGGTACTTGTGATCAGATACGATTTTGCTATGAAAAGTGGCTGTCAGTGACATTATACATTCAGCATTTCTACAAGGCACAACAAATTGTGGGCACAAGATTCATAGACTTTGTAACTCACTGTGCCCCTGGGCAATGATGGTCAGTGTCAGAGCACCAGAAGCTTTAACCCACGGCTCCGCTTATGTTGGGATGAATGAAGAAAGAGTAGAGAAACAGGATTTGAATACTTAACGTTTGGGCACCAGGCTAGATTGAACTTGGCTATCATGTACACCACATTTGAACAGCTTGCTGATCTTTACGATGCAGACTCACATGTTGCTATCAGACAAAGTACTCGAAAACCACCTGCGCAGAGGACAGAAAGTAAAAGGAGTCAAAAAACATTTTGAAAAGTGGAAGGAGGAGAAAACCTTTAACTGATAAGAACGTAACTGAAACGATCATTTAAAAAGTAATTAGCTGATAATAATATAATAATCCTTGCCTTTGATATAGCGCCTTATCTTCTGTAAAGTAAATTGACTGTTTTTTGGGTGTAACACGGCACAACGGTGTCCCACAAACAGTTTTGGATTGAGTGACCAAATTATTATTATTATTTTATTTTATTATTTTTTGGAGGGATTATTACCCCCAGAAAAGTGATCCGCCAATCGACTAACAACCGGGTTCCTATTTACTGCTAGGTAAACAGGTGTGTGGAGTAAGGAAACTTGCCCAACATTTTGCCCTGCACGGGAATCAAACCCAGTTCCTCTCGCTTGTGAGGTGAGTGCTCTAGTGGAGATAATGTGGATCATTCAGTGTGTGGGGTGGAAGGTCTCTCACTGTGGACGTTTGCAGGAGAGGGGGAAAGGAGGGCAGAATAAAATTACTGCTGGAAGCATGCAGCCCTTGGGCACATACTGCTCGCTCGCTCATGGGTGTGTGATGCTGGGAGATGGGCCGACACCGATCAGGTTCAGAAGCTGCCCTTTCGTGAGTGTGTACAGTCAGATACAGGAACCGCAGAGACATAATTATACCTCAATTACATCTGGCTTATGGAACAGAAATTCCTGTTTACAAACAGAATTACTGACTTGGTTTAGCAAAGATAGAGCAGATACAGAGACTCCTGCAATATTTATGATCACATAAAAGCTTTTATTTAAAGATTCTAAGGCTTTCCTTTGACTTTGAAAAAATTCACTATCGATGTTCTCCCCTCTCTTAAAAACACTGAATCTTGCTGACATATTAAGTATTAATAACACTTGCATTTGATAAACATCCCAGAATGCTTCACAGGTAATTGTCAAGTGTAGTGACTATATTTGTAAAAGGGGAGCAAGGACACAGCTACACTAAGAATGCAGCAGAGTGTGAGCTCAGAATTCTCACAAAGAGCTTGATATATAATAATAATACTTGCATTTGATATTGACACTTATCACGTCTTTGAGACGTCTCAAAGAGCTTCACAGAATACACTGTAAAGTGAATTGA